TTTAAAACCGTTAAGGAAATAATACGTAATTAAGACGCTATCCGTATATTTTATAGCGTTAATAAAAGCGTTAACGATATCGAATTATTTTACTTTTAAATCAAATTCGGCTGTTATAGCTATTATGATCTTAAAAGATTTAGCTTCTAACGTAGCAGCGTAAGTTAAATAAATAATAAATTCGTTTTGAAAGTTACTTTTAATAATAATTCTCGATTTAAACTTTACGATCTTTTCGGACGAGCTAATTTTATATATAAATACTTATTTAAAAAGTATAAGTTTTAATTTAATTTCGCTTTCGAGAATCACTTTTTAGCAGTTCTTTTTCTTTAAATTATTTAGCTTTATAAATGCTCCGTTTATAAACTCTTTGCCGTATATGTCGGTATATCCATATCGACCTTAGCTAGTAGTAGTAGTAGTAGTAGTAGTTGGGGAAGCTCACCCGTGAACCATGGTTTACGGGCCACTTGGCATGCCTCGCTTAGCATGTTAGCAGTCAAGGGACCCTTAACTTAATAAGTAAACCTATTAGCTAGCTAGTGCACGTGATTCCTTTTAATCGTATAAAAAGAATCAGCTCTTTTAAGCCTTAAGGAGAAGATAGAATTCAAATACTTTATTAACCGAGTGTTTTGCAATTGCAAGTACTTTGACGACCGTTACGACCTTACGAATATATATTCTTAATCGCTTAGAAGCAATCTAACACTGATTAATGATTGAATTATTATTAAGTGATCAATTATAGAAAAGCTAAGACTTTATAGCGAAGATACTTTTTACTACGATACCTCTCTCTTTTTATAACGGAAGAGCGATTCCGTACTAAGTCGCTTCTTATACTATCGATTTTCTTTATCCTTACGGAAGAGTGATTCCGAACCAAGTTACTTTTATATAATCTTCAAAGCTATAAAGCCGCGCTTGCTATATATAGCAAACCTAATTAATACGATCAATTTACGTACGAGCAAACAATTATTATAGCCGATCAAGCAACTAGACCTTTAGGTGAAGAGTCCAGCCGATAAAGAGCAGTAAGGTATTATACCCTTCGAGTCTTATCACCATTTACGGAACCCTTAGCTATTCAGTTAAAAAGACTATTATACTTAAGACTCTTAAGCCTTTCGGAAGGATTAGACGACGAGATGTCGGGCATCTTATTTAACTTAAACGAGCTATTATACGCAAAGCCCGATAGTGAGATTACGGCCCGAGCAATAGTAAAGGACTTTTTGGACGCGAAGTATAAAAGATTAAGGGATTACGACTTGTAAAGCTTATTCCGGCACGCTTTTTTACGCTAAGATTAGACGAGTTTTACGATAATAAAAGATAATACGGGACGAAGCTTTAAGTTTGCTATCTTTATTAGCTTTAAGGAACATTTGCTATCCAAAGGCGTGTGGTGCCTTTTAAAGCAAAAGGGCTACGCTAATAGGATGGTCAAGCTTTTAAACGACGAGCAGCAATACTAATAGACCTTTTAGGAAATAAAAGAGCAATAAGCAATACTTCTAAGCTTCGATTCAAGGTGGACCGCCGAAAACCTTACGGACGATAAGGGTACTACACCTTAATCACCTTTACCTTCGCGCAGTTTAAAAAGGAAGGAAAAGGAGACTATAAGCAAGAGGGAAGAAGGGAAAGAGATTCGGAGGTTACGCGAGGAATTTGCGAAAGAGAAAAGGAATATAAAGCAAAATATAAAGGTGATAGCAAAGCAAATAGCGGAATTACGAACTTACGCTATACAATCCAACGAAAGGCTATAACGAGGCGCTTTAGCGTACTCGACGCCTTTAATTTATTAATCGCTACGCAATACGCTAATCATACAAGAAGAGCTAAAATCACTTTAACGGCCCTTAAACCCTTTTTTTAAGAGCTACAACCGGGTTTCTTTAAAGCCAAGACCGAGTAGCAATAATAACGGCCCCGAAGACATAATCGGGCCTGATAATACGCATAGCAATAGCAGCTATACGCTAAAAGAAGACCTATTAAAACTTAAAAGCATTCCGAGCAAAATCAGCTCTTATTAAAAATAGCGTGCAGATTTCCGTGCTTAACCTTAGCAACTCGAGAAGGGGATCTAGCATCTTCGGACGTACTAATAAGCTTCCTAGATCTTTTAACAGGCTACGTATTAATAAGAGGGATATAAAAGGTATAAGAATCGCTAAGAGCGTGCTTAAGGGTACGGATATCATTAAGCTAAAGCCCTAGCCGGTGACCCGAATAGCTTTAGCGATCTTGACGATGACCGACGAAAAGGGAACGGGGGAGATTGGCAAGGAGATCGAGGCTACGGATACGAAGGAAGTAAAAACGGCCCTTTTGGACTATCAAAGGGATTCGGAAACGGACCTCCAAAGGACTTCGGATCCGGAAATAAGCCTTTTAAAGACCTTGGAAGGGTAAGACCTATAACCGGCAATTATATCGGTAACCTTTTATCGATCCGACCATTAGCTAAGCACGGCACGCTTGCGTACGGCACTCCAAGCGCTTTTAACGATAATAAAGACGATTTCCTTAAGCTAAGAGTAGCAAACTTTTATTTAAGAGCGAAGGAATTAGCTTTGTTCGCGCGAAGCTTTTTTAAGGAGCTAAAGTATTCAAGACTCGACGATAACTTTAAGACTTAATTAAAGATTTTTGCTAATCAAGCAAGTCGATACGGTTTGACTTCCGAGGACTACTTAGCGGCGTTTTCGATTATACTTATAAAAGAGGCTATAACTTTTTATTATAATTACGTTATCAAAGCTAAGCTTTCGACTTTTAAAGCAAACGCTATTGTAGTAAAGGATTATTTCGAAATTGATTACCGGCGGTAAGTAAAATACGACCGCTAAAAAGAAATTTCGCTAGATTTAATTAGGAAAAAGAATCTAAGGACTTCGCTTAACGAGTGCTTTAAAAAGCTCGCTAAAGAGCTTAAAAGGATTCAAGGCTCTTTACGACCAAGTTTAAAAGATAATCGAAGTCTTGCTAACAAGCTGTATTTAGCTTATAAAAACGTATTAGAGACTACGATTGCGCGAATGAACTTTGCTTTTATCTTTACCGCTGTAGTTGCCGATATTCGCAAAGCTATTGCGTTTGTAATTAAGACCTCTCGACCTCTCGCTAAAGCAAGTAGAGCTTACGCGAGCTTTAGCGAGCTACACGATCATACTTGCTCTTATAATACTTTAAAAGCTAACTTCGATTTGGACGAAGAATACGAATGCTTTATTTAAGACCGCTAATACTTCGGAAGTAAAAAAGCTGCCAAGGCTATTATTAAAGGTAAGAAAAAGTATTTTGTTTGTAAAAAGCTAAGTTGCTAAAGCATTAATTATACTTTCGACGAAAAAAAAGCATCCGTCGCCAAATTCCAGGCTTTTAAGGACGCAAAAAGAATGACGAAAAGCAAATTCTTTTAATACGTAGCATCGATTAAAAGCTTGCTACTTGTATCTACGAAAGAATTCGATCAGTTTATCGCAAGCCTATTAGACGAGCCGCCCGAATCGGGCAGCTACGTTAATATATCGAAAGGTTTTATGATTACTTACGGCACTTTTAACGCTAACGAAGTATACAAACAGCTAGAAATTCAAACGGCATTCTACGCTTTTACTAACTAAATCGAAACTTAAAACGTGCCCGCGGGTAAAGCAAAGACTTATATAGCTTCTAAGTATTTTGAAAACGTATTTATAAGCTTTATGATTGATAGCGGAGCAGCTAATTTCTTTACCGCTAGCTTGCTTTAGCTACGAGCATTCTAAAAGAGGTACCTCGAGGTCCAATTAAATACATCTCGGGCAAAAGAGAAGTCCGTCAAATACGGCATCGGCTCTGCTACTTCTATTAAAGCAGTTACCTTAGATACCTCTTTAGATCAAATAAAGTTTTACGTTATAAAAAGCGACGTACCTTTCTTATTTTCATTAGCTAATATAAACAAGTATAAAGTGATCTTGGATAACTTACGGAACGTGCTAGTTTAAAAGAAAAGGGAAATACTAATAGTAAGAATATTTAAGCACGTGTGGATGCTATTAAGTAAAAAGCACGCTGCTACTTATTATAGTACCGAAGGCGAGACCGTCTACTGCTACTTTACGAAAGAATAATTGAAGATTATCTATAAGCGTTTTGGCCACTTTTTAGCAAGTCGATTTGCTGCTATTTTCAAGAGGGCCGGGCACGAATTTAAGCGAGATTTGCTTTATAATATTTAAAAGTTTTGCTATTATTGCTAAGTATTCGAACGCTTTTCGAAGAAATTTAATATTAGACTTAAAAACGATACTGACTTTAATAATACGATATACGTGGACGTAATGCACTTTAACGGCAAGAACGTATTATACGTCGTTTGCGATTCTATTAATTTTCAAGCCGCTATCTTTTTTAAAAGCATATCCGCATAGCACTTACTTAAGGGATTTAATCGATATTAAGTTAATACTTACGTCGAACCTTTTATAAACGTAATGCACGATCCCGAAACCAATTTCAATTCGGCAACGTTTCGAAGCTACCTTAAAAGTATTAGCAGCACCTTAAGGCAAATGCTTATAGAAGCCTATCATAGCGTCGGGCTAATAGAACGCTATTACGTCCTTATACGACGCGCCTTTAAGATCGTCATAAAAGAGCTTTCAAAAGCCTTAAAGGAAGACCGGCTTTAAATAGCTATTAAAGCTATCAACGACATAGCTAGACCTAATAGCTTAGTTTTTATACTTTTCGTTTTT